GACTCACTCATGGACAATATAACAGCAGTGACATTTATCAACAAAATGGTGGGTACCAGGTTCCCCATTCTGTCAAGTCTTGCCTTCAAACTGTGGTCTTGGTGTCTTCAACACCAAAACAGTATAATGGCGCGACATATTCCAGGAATCCAAAACTTCCAAGCCAACCAGGAGTCGTGTACTGTTATAGACCACCCCAACTGGAAGCTCAAACCAGAAATTTTCCAATGTATTCAGAGACTTTGGGGTCCCCTGGAAATAGATATCTTTGCATCCCTGCCTATCGTACCAAATCCCAAGGTACGCAAGCTGGAGGCCAGATTCAGGAGCAGACACAGTGGATGCTTTTACCCTGGACTGGGCTCAGTTGCAGGGTATGCCTTTCCCCCTTTCGCATTAGTAGGGAGATGCCTAAAACAAGTCATTCTCCAACAAGTTCAGAAAATGGTCCTAGTAGCCCCAGTATGGGAAACCCAGCCTTGGTACCCATTGCTCCTCCAACTCTGTGTCGACTTCCCTCAGTTACTTCCACAACCTGTAGATCTGTTGACCAGGCAGGGGGAAAAATCACCCCCTAACCCACCTTCAGTTTGCAGGATGGCTTGTCTCAACCGTTCATACTCAGAGACAAGCATTTCTGCAGAGGCTAGAACACTGCTCATGGCTGCATGGTGAAAAAACAGTGCCTATGGGGCAGCTTTGCAAAAGTGGGCTAGCTGGTGTAATCAACAACAGATTAATCCCTTTTCAGCCCCTTTATCAGCAGTTTTAGATTTCCTTACAAGAGAATTTAACACGGGCAAGGCATACCGATCAATTAATGTCTATCGTTCAGCAATATCCATGACCCATCCAACCATTGATTCTCTGAGGGTTGGTGAACATCCATTGGTTTGTCAACTTATGAAGGGTATATTCAACAAGAGACCGCCACTTCAACGATTCACTCAAACATGGAAGGTTCATCAGGTCACTAGCTACTTAGAAGGCCTTGGTGATAATTCAGAATTGTCATTGAAACAACTGTCTGAGAAACTAGTGGTCCTGCTGGCCCTCACATCTGCTGAACAAGGGTCTGAATTGGCTGCACATGACCTCAGATTCAGACGTTTTTACCCTGAAGGGGTTTCTTTTACTCTCCCCCCAATTAACAAAAAAATCATGTATTGGGAATCCTGCTAAAACTTCATTTCATGCCAGTTTACCTTCTAATGCTAGATTGTGCCCTACTGAAAGTCTAGGAGAATATGAGAAATGCACAGAAGCCTTTCGGCCCAATGCTTCTAATGCAAACATCTCAAACAAGTTCTTTGTCTCTTACATCCGCCCTCACAGACCAGTGTCATCTTCCACCCTTGCTTGGTGGATGAAAGAAGCTTTAGGTGCGGCTAAAGTTGATACTTCTATATTCAAAGCCCACTCATCATGGGCTGCAGCAGCCACTGCTGCAATTGAAGGAGGTATATCTTTACCTCAAATTTTGACTCTGGCAGATTGGTCAGGTCCTTTGACCTTTAACAAGTTGTTTTACCGCCCAAGCTTTGATGCTCAACCGGGCCGAGCTGTACTAGGATCTTCAAAATGAGTCATAGCAGAGCCTTTAAACAGACACTGTTATATGGAGGTGACTGTTCTGAAGTATAATCACAGATTATGCAAGGGCTGCTTGCAGCCTGTAGTATAATGTGGATTATTAAAAACTGGATCATTGGATAATGCAATTCAAGACTTTTTATTGGCTTAGCCATTATGGTATATCAGCCAATATACCATAATCTATAAATATAGCAAGCGTACGTCTTAGCTTAAAATTAGAGGGAGCTAAAAATTTAATGAAATTTAATAACTCAATTTTAACGTTTTTAATAAAACAATTATTCCACTCGCTCTTGTTGGATATGAGATGATTATAGCCAACTCGGCGC